TGTTTATTGGATCAACCTTTTCTAATAAGGGTTGAATTCTGTATTTCAAGTTAATTTATCTCTAATGAAAGTTATCATTTCTGATAAAAAAAAAAGGCAAACAAACTCTAAGCTCCTCAAAAGTTTTGGGCAGATTGGAAAGTCAAAAATGCAAGGATCAAGATATAGGTCTGGAATCTATCAGGACTTTTAGCTCAGGTGGCTGCTGCTTCTGGTGCCAAAGAGGGTATTTTGAATGGTTTAAATTGTGCAACAGTACGGTAAAAATAGCTTTACTTAAGATGTGGCAGGACTTTTCAACCGAGACTTTTTGAGGCAACCAAAGAAAAGAGGGAAGGCTATGTGGAAAGCTACAAAGGCAGCTATTTGTTGGGTGATTTGGGAAGAAAGGAATAACAGAATATTCTTGGACAAGAGTAGAACAATGAAGGAGGTGATCGAAACAATTAAAGTTAAAGTAGCTCATTGGGTAAGATCTTTGCATATCTTTCAAGATCTTGGGCAACTCTCTAAAAGCTGAGTTAATGGCATTGCTACAAGGACTGAAGATAGCTAAGCAACTATGAATGAGGCATATTGAGGTTGAAGGGGACTCCAAGGTGATCATCTCTTGAGCTAAAAACAAAAGAACTACTCCGTGGACTTTCAAACAAGTGATAAGGGAAGTGGAAAAGGTCGCAAGGGAGGTAAAGGCTGAATTCAAATGGGTTAGAAGGAGTGCAAATGGGCTAGCTGATTATCTTGCTAAACAAGGGGCTTTGAGACAACAATTGTTTTGGGCTGCAATGTAAAGAGGGACAGAAATATGTAATAGTGTGGGAGCTCTAATCCCATACACAAAGTTGTAAAAATTTTTAACTCTAATTTCAAATAAAATTCTCCTTTGCTGATCAAAAAAAAAATTGCTTTACTTAATATATATATATTAGATTTTTTAATATAATATAATTTATAAATGTAAATGATGAAAAACAAAAACTAGTAAAAGGGGGGTGCTGTTGGACCGGAGGCAAGTGAGCAAAGCGAGGGGGCAAAGCCCTGGGCCCAAAGCAAAATTTGTTTGTTCAAGGGTAATTTTGTTGCTCAATAAAAAATAAATCACATTCTTTATATAGATAGAAATATAGACAACATACCAACCATCAGTCACCTCATCCAGACATTCCTTGTGTAGAGGAGGAGCTAATCTCTCATTTCCTTCTCACATGTGATCATGATCCATTTTATCATTCTGTTTAATAGGAATGAATTCATCCCTATGAACTTTTTAGCTCTGGTCCTTCATGGCTGGTCAGACGTCAGATCAACTTTGTCGTGATAGGGAAGATCAAGAGGAAGCTGGTTTTTTGGACATTTACCAAGAAGGATTTCCATGGTTTAAGATATGCACATGGTTTGGACTTTTTCTCCATGTAAGGTTAAAATTGTTGCTAAGGGAGGTAATATATAGAGTTGTAATCCAGTTTTTCTACTATGGACATAACTCTAGTTCTTTTTTGATCAGTGACATAATTGTAGTTCTTTATTAGTAATACAACATTGTAGATATAAGTATATAACCACATAACATATAAGAGGTATCTGTGGAGCATTACTACTAAAGTCACAATAGATGTATAATATGGATTAACAAGTTATGTATATGTGCAGAGGGATCTGTGGAGCATTCAGATTGTCAACGTCATTGTTGTCATAAATTCATCATAGAGTAGGTAATGCGCACCTCACCTGGCTGGTATACATTTACAATTAGTTGATCAAAGAGGGGCTCTCTCCACAATAAATCTGATGGCAAAGGGCAAACTTCTTCCTTATCCTGATCACATGTTGATGAATCTCCACACTCAGAAATATCACAAAACCAAACTGCTTTACGAATAGATTCAGAAAGCTCAATTGCCCATGCAGGAAGATCTCCAAACCTCATAGCCTACAGGTAAAGTAGATTAAGCACAGTTAATTTAAAACAAAAAAAAAAAACTAAAAGAATTAATCTGTTAAGCACATCAAGCAGTAATGACAACCTGCTCTACAACATGAAACTCACATGCCAAAATACACGTGTCCCTAGTTGTAATGATTTTTCTTATAATTTGATCAATGACTTTATGGGTTAAAATCCTCCCTTGAATCCAAGCACAGCCCCTTTTGAAAGTCACAAGCCTACTGCATCGGGTGCACCTTGCGCCTCAACCCAGATATGCACCTTATTTAAATATGCCTTTCTTTTTGTAGATCCTATGTGTTTTACAACTTTATAATGATTGATCAACTTCTAAATTACCTTTTATTGATGTGTGTACACTAGTCATGGTTTATTACTTTTAGAATAAACAAAAACAAAAAAAAAAAAAATCAAATACATGAAACCTTAGTTCTTGCAAAAAGGATCTCAAGTGGCCTCTACGCATAGACTGTAAGTTTCACGTTCTTGAATTGTTAGTGCTTGATTTTTTTTTTTTTTTGGAAGGTAAGTAAGAATTTATTGATTAAAAAAGTAAAGGTTACAAGCCTTACAACAACTTCCCACCAATACACCTCACTGAAGAAAGAGGGGAAAACTCATTACAGACTCCAAACTGACTGAGAGTAAAGCATCTGAAATACATTTTGATGCTTAAACTCAGGTCTAACTGACAACCGAGATGCAAGCTTACAAACAGATATCTGTATCAAATCGTCTAAGTTTCTTGCTTTGTTACAGAAAATACGACTGTTTCTCTCAGACCAAATGGTCACAAGAATAGCCGCAGGTATGGTGCTCCAGATCAGCTTTTTCCCCTTCTCTTCAGGTTAGACAGCTTCCAGCAGTAAAACAGGTCCTTGACAGAGCTAGGCATGACCCAGTCAACCCAACCCAAATCTTCAAAGCAATGTGGCAGTGGATAAAAATGTGGTCAATTGTCTCTGGTGCTAATCCACACAAGCCACAGTTCAGATCAGGGATATGCAGCCAGCAGCCCTCTCCTATCCAAGTTGACTCTTGAGAGACCCTTGTTTAGAGTCAAAACCCAAACAAGAAAGTTTGTCTTGGAAAGGCAGATTGGGTTCCACACCCCACCAAATGTTAGTGCTTGAATCACTTAGGTACAACTAAAATCCACAAATGTTTGCCTTCGCTTCCACATTTTCACTTTGAATAGGTTTTATATGTTATGGTTATTCATTTCAATTTGAGCCAATAGGCTTTTTAAAACATTTTGTTTCTTCTGGAATTAAGGTTTGCATTTTTTAATGTGTCACTACTTTTAAAAGATATTTTTCAAAAAATTGCACCATGCCTCAAAAAGGCACACGCCTTGCCTTGTGCCTCACACTAGAAGGCTCTTGTGCTTTTCTTTGGCCTTGCACTTTTAAAACACTCATCAAATTGACAAAAGGCAGTAGGATATATGATGTTTAAGAACACAAACAACTTCAGAAGATATACAGCTCTCATTTTATATCATGAATTACAGAGGTTGTGTCAGTCCAATTAACTCAGTTTCAAGTCCTTACTAGTTCAATATTTAGTGAAATTGTGTATTGGGAATGAGGGAAGAGGAGAATGAATAAAGTCTAGATTATATCTAGTTAAATGTAGCCACATAGAAGTGCATCCCATAAGCAACAATATGTCATAAAATAGAATCATGTTAACCCTCAAGGAAACAAAAAATAGCATGTATAGTTGGTAATTTGTCTTTGGTGTACGTATAAATGAAGAACCAAAGGACAGAAGGATAAATTTGCTAATAATTAAATTTCAACCACCTAACGTTTTTCTATTTGGAATCCTCCACAAGAATAAGCTCCTTGAGGCCCAACAGTAGTGGTTGGTTAAGGATAATAAGATAGTGGGTGATTAGACCTTCATATGGCATGACCAAAAGTCATTTTAAAGAAATGACAATACTTATATGTTTTGGCAACTGGAGTGGTTTATTTCCAAACTGAGACATCTAAGGGATTTGCTAAACTATATTACTATATCACTGAATTAGGAAGCCTGTAATGCAGTCTTGTCTCTTAACTTATGTTGTCATAACTGAGTCAGTAGATATGCATGCATATAAATCAAGTCATTGAATGAAGATCAAAAAGATGGAAAAACAAAATGAATGTCCCTTGCACTTGTTTGTGGTATTATAATTATTGTAGAAATCTCTGTCAGTGAACATAGATAATATTATAATAGACTGTCAAAGGACAGTCTCACAAGAAAAATGTGCACTATATAAGCATAAAAAGAGAAAATATTACCTGATTATGGGAAGCTTCAGTGAACCATCCTTCTGCAAATACATAAGATAGCTAACTATGTTAGAATTTGGCATTTCAAACCAACCCGTGAACTCGTACTCCTTTGATTCACTTCAAAAATAAAAACCTATGTAACTTAAAACGATAAATGAGGAATAAGTACACCGAACATGTGGTTCGACATATAGTTGATATTTCTTAGAGCAATAACGTTCCAAACAAAGACTGCAGATCTTTCCTGTTTCCCGAGTTGGGTGTATAATAAGTTTACAGGAAAAGAAAAACACGATAACGTCCAAGAGTGTTTGGGAATTGGGACAGTACGTCCAATATTTCAAATAGCATATCCTCTAAAAAAAATGACCTGAGAGCTGAGAATAACAATGAAACATTCATTGATTTGTGAGTCCAAGCCAATCCAAATAAGCATGAGATAGATGGAAGGGCACAAAAGCATAGTACCACACGACTACACAAAGAGACAGTACATAGAAATGAACTGGATAACAAGTAACTAAACATGAAAATGGAGAAAAGAGAGCACGACGGGGAACCTTTTTCGATTGCAGACAGCAGCGAAGATTGGCGCTCAAGAGAGAGGAAGTCTCTATACAACCATAGCCCACTAATCTCTTCAATTCGTTCCCAAATAGGATTTTTCTCGCTCTGGTTCACTGATTGTTCCTCGTCGAAGGAATCTCCTGACTGCTGTTCTCCTTCACCTTCTTTATCTGAAGATTCGCCAAATACTTCTTCTAAAATTTGCTTCTGGTCTTCCATTTGCAGTGCACTGAGTCCGCGAAACAAGGAGGGAAAAAATACGCGCGAGCCACGAGGCAAGAAATAGCCCTTGCTTTCCCCCCTCTTTCACAAGCTCGGGCCGAAAGGCCGAGGCCCAGCTGGAGGGAGCACACGGCCACTTAACAAGTATGTGCAGGTTTACATTTTTTTAACCCCAAACTACCGTTAATGTTAATAATTTGGGTGAAAGGCTTAAACATATCCTGAATTTTCTAAAATTGATTTAAAACATAAATTGACTTAAATATACTGTCCAACCATTGTGTTTAACATATTTAGTAAAGTACACTTTTACCCCTCCTTAAAGAGTCCAAATCTTCTCCTCACAGAGCTTGCCTCTCATCGACCTCACAGCATCTTTTGGCCTCACAGTGGGAGATGCAAACATCTCCTGTAATTATATTTATTGTTCATGCGGAGATATTCTCAATGCAGATGAGATGTGGCTGTGAGGTCAGTGTGAGGAACAGACTCCAATTCCTCCTTCAACGAGTCTAGATCTATTCCCACAGAATGCACCTCACAGCCCCATCCCACTTTGTATTGGAAACATCTTTCGTCCGTCCTTGTATTTGTTATTCATGGGAGACGTTTTTAATATATGTTTATTTAATATTGTGATGTTTATCTCTGTTATGTAACATTTTTGTAGGCTTTTTTTCTTTTTCAGCGTCTCCTAACATAGAGGTGGGGACCATGAGGTGAATAAGGTTAGTGGGCCTCATGTGCATTACGCTCTGTCCCCACCCATTAATCTAGAGTTGTCAATGGGTCGGGTCTGGTTCATGATAGGTTGGACCAATATCAATAATATAAATCCAAAAGTGAACCAATTAGGAGAATTGGATCTGACGTGCTTATACTTGACATCTATAACTAGCTATAATAATTACAGCCTGAAACTTTGTTATTTATAATATAAACCTTAATAAAAATTATAAATATCAATGTTTTTTAATTGTTGTTAACCCGGACGATCAGACCTTTCATCATGAAAACTGTCCAGGTAACCGGATCTATTTCATCCTTAACCCAGTCTTTAGCCAAAAACTATTAATTTTGTCAATAACCCACTGATTTAAGTGGTCGAACCATCGATTCATTCGACCTATTCAATAATTTTTTACCTTTTTATTTTTTATTTTTTTTAAATTGGAACAAACTGTTCATTCAAACCAAGAGGTTGAATCACTGGCCTAAAAACTAGTGACCAAAACGATTCCAATTCCGAATCAATTTTAAAACCTTTATAAATATTAAATTGTATAAGAATATAATCTTAGGATTGAAGTATATGCATTCACCGTGTATAATACTCAGGTACATAACTATATTTATAGAGTTATAGAATATGGGATTAACACGTTACATGTGAGGTTACAACTTATGATAACAATTAGATAAATATAAAGGGCATAAAAGGTTGAAACACTGATGACACAGCCAATGAATTAGTCATTCACACGCGTATCCTTAATACTCCCACAAGTAAATGCTCGATCAATGACGTAAAGCCTGTACCTAAGCAACCGAAAACGAGCTGATGGAAGGGGTTTGGTGGATACATCGAGCGGGAACCGGATTAAAATTTTGATAAATATTTTGACAATTATAAAAAGTAGATATTAATCTTTTTTTTTCAATTGCTTTAAATGTGCTTATAATGTCATGCCTATATATGATCCAAATTGCATGGGGCAATTGTTGATTATTTGACATATAACAAACATCAAGAACTTTATTTACAATCATACAAGGAAGTATACCTAAACATGTTTGGTGCGAGCATGGAAAATTGAATTATAAACCAAGAAAAGTGCTCCAACATTATCATACCCCGGCCGGGGGTCATAGAGCAATTATTAAACCCAAATAAACTCAACAATCATAGTGGCAAGCGCTCAGAACTTCATTTCAATGCTGGAATGAACCACCGAGGATTGCTTCTTAGTACTCCAAGATATTAAATTGTTGCCTGGAAAGAGACCAAAATCTCCCATTGACTTATGATCTCTAAACACCCAACCCAATCAAAGTCGGAGTAAACCACATGATGAAGAGAGGTGAACTTCCAAAAAGTGAGGGTGCCTTTAATAGTGTAGATGCACTTGGCTACTGCCATATGAGAGATAGTAGGACAATGCATCAACTGAGTCACCCTGTTCATGGCGAGTTCAGGTCTGCACCCCACAACATCCCACAGTGCATCTCCACTTTGTATTGGGAACATCTCCTGATGATGACATCATCAGGTCTGATATTATCATTGGGAGATATTCTTAATACACGGCGGAGATGCACTGTAGGACATTGTGGGGTGCGGATGTGAACTCATTCGTAACATAAGCCACATCCAGGTGAATAAAGGTGATATAATGGATGCTCCCAACAAGACTTCTATACAGAAACAAATTCGAGGGAGGCTCACCATCCTCTCAAAATAATCGATAGTTGTTGGGAAGTGGAGTAGAGACAAATTTCACTCCGTCATATTACACCATTTGAGAACATCAATGACATATTGCTGGTGATAGATAAGCATGGAAGAGGTTGTATGCTCATCCTGGACCCCAGGAAAGAAATGAAAGCTACCAAGACCTCTTTAAGGCAAATGCAACAAATAGATCAGCTAAGAGCTTAGAAATGGTGACACGGATGCTTCCGATAATTATTATGTCATCAACATACATTAATTATAACATAGGACAGATGTGTAACACAAAGAATTAATGAACCATCAGAATTAGAGCCATTGAAATCAAGCCGCGACAAATATGTGTATAATTTATATAATCATGTTCATGGGGCTGTTTAAGTCTATAAAGGGCCATTTGTAATTTTAGACCACTGTTTTCAAAATTGGATTGGATCAAACGGTCGAACCAGAAAAACCGGAATATCAGGGGATGATGTTTGTAGATAGTCTAATGAAGAGTACTAAGGAGAAGTACATTATGAACATCTAATTGATGAACCGACCAGACCAGCCCATTGAAGTGGCAATAGATGCAAATTATTATAGGCTTCACTACAAGACTAAATGTATATGTGTGGTCCCATGCATGTTGTTAGGTATAGCCATTCTCCATGATATGAGGAAAGTTTGCTGCAAACTTTCAGGAAATATCACTAATCATGTGTGTAGCATGATAGGCATGCCTAGTGTTGTTGTTAGTATTTTATGACAACTCATTACATTACTTCAAATCCAGTGCGTTTGGACTTAAGGAATTATCTTTAAGTCCAATTACATTATTTCAACACATTACGGAATTTAGCTGAGATGACAACTCTCTAAAAGCTTGTTTCATGGTTAAATAAAATAAATATAAGGATAAAATATAAAAACTTTCCCTAAAGTTTCTAACAATAATAAAAACCTCCCCTATAGTTTCATTGTAATAAATATTTCCCCTAAACTTTTAAAAAATTTGACAAAAACCTCCCTTTTGTTACTGATGACCAGACGAAAAACATTAGATTGATGCATCATTTGTTTTCAATACCAGTTTTACCCTTTTATAAATTATTTAACATACAAAATTACTTAAATAACCCCATTTAAATTCAACAAACACCCCCTTTCGATTTTTATCCTCTCCCTTTGAATTCCCATCCCTAAACTCCATCGATGCCAAGATAGAGAAACCCTGTTCGGAAACTTCATCGATTCTAAGAGAGGAGTTCTACTCGAAATCCATCAAAAGAGAGAAACCCCAAAAGAACATCAACTCTTTCAATCTTCTAACCCTTGAAACCCTAATCCATTGACTAAGGAAGAGAATAACATATTTCTACTTGTTGTAGCAACATTTTAAAAAACAACCCATAAATGGAACCGTTCTGGCCACCGGTTTCTGGGTCGATGGTTCAATCATCTAGTTCGAATGAACGGTCCGTTCTGATAGCAAAATTAAAAATAAATAAATAAACGGTCAAAAAACGTTGAATGGGTCGACCGCTTGGGTCAATGGTTTGTTGATTTTTTTAATGGTTTTTAACCAAATTTCGGGTTTGAGATAAAACAGAACCAGTTACCTGAATGTTCCCGGACCAAACGGTCCAACCATCCAGATCAACGACAGTTCGAAAACGTTGCTTTGCAGTGATTCTTTCACCATTGATTCTTCCGGTGAAATGAACCACCTTTGCTTATTTCACCGCTGAAACTTACGTCAGTGGAGAAGTGAGACGCCTTTTTTTTTTGTTTAGGAGAAAGTAGGTAAAGTGAGACACCATTTGTGGTTCATGTGGTAGAGATGTCATGCACTATATGCTAACAATGATCAAATTTCAAGCAATTCCAGATTTCATTTCACGAACAACAAATTCTCTGTCTTTCCAAATACGTCCCAGAGACAATGGAGAACCCACAGAGATAGGAGTTGGTTTCTGGATTTATCAACCTTCAAGACGAAAATACAAACACTACAGATTTTAGCTACAGAGATACAGGAAAAGAGCCACATTATCGTAGAAGATTGAGGAGTTCATATCTCCGCCCCACAGAGAGCCACACTACATCTCTGCTGTGTATTGGGAACATCTCATCATCGGTTCTGGTATATCATCAGAAGATGTTCTCAATACACGGCGGGGATGTGGTGTGAGGCGGAGATGTAAACTCAAGATTGAGGGGATTTGTAGCAGCCAGGCATCTGAACAAGATGTTGCTTGATTGAGGGCAAATATAGTATCTTTAAATGATACATTAGAGGTAATTTCGTAAATGTATACATTCTCTATTTGGGTTAATGACAGAAGGGAGATTTTTGTTAAATTTCTCAAATATTAAGGGGAGGTATTTGTTATAATGAAATTATAAGGGAGGTTTTTGTATTTTACCCTAAATATAAATGAAAAGCTTCCAACCTTTGAATTTGAAAACCTTCTCTATTCTATATCAACCCTCTTTTAAAACCCGAACTCTCTTTTTTAGAAATCATGCATTTGCTAGGAAGGACCTAATGATTGTGGTTTTCTGACGAAAATACAGTAAAATAACCTCCCTTGAAAATGGAGTGCTAAGGATGAAGAACACTCTATGTTGTTTACAAACAGCGTATATGGGTTCTTCTTGATCAGGTTTTTCGGGATGAGTAT